CAAAGAACAGAAAGAGAGGCAATGGGAGATGAGAGAGTGACAAAACTTTGGAAGATGAGCGGCATGTAGTTGAGGGTTAATGACTGAGTAGAGAAGAGAAACTGGACATATGAACCTCCAGGAGACCAGCCACTCAACCACAGAACCTTGGAAAAATTCAAGAATCATTGATACTAGGTACTCTCAAAGGTGGGAGTGAAAGTTGGGGCTGAAAACAAAAGATTGGGTAAAGAAAAGGTGGAGTCAAACCACCAGATCCCCTCCCTCACCCTGCACAGTTAGGGACTAACTCTCCCCTAGTAATGACGAAGGTGATGGTGAAGATGAGGGTGATGACAGATAGCATATATGGGGCGTACTATGTGCCAAGCACTATCCGAGTTCTTCACATATATCCATTCATTTAACCCTATTAGTCACCTATGAGGTATTTACTGTTATCATCTCCATTTTACAGATGATGAAACTGAGCCATTTGTCCAAGATCACACAGCCAATAAGTGATAGGGCCAGGATTCAAATCCTGGCATGTGAGAGGTAAGGATGAACAGTAGTCTTGTGTTTGGACTTCATTTGTCTCCCCATGAGAAGCCAGGAGCGAGGCTGAAGCAGTTGTTTAGATCAGAGATAGTGGAGTCCTAGCCTAGAGGCAGGGATGGGAGGTGGTGAACATAACTAAGATGAGTAAAAATAACCCCTCCCACTTCCTGGGCACCCTGATGTGCCCAATACTTCGTGCATGGTATCTCATTTAATTCCCTCCAAAACCCTATGAAGTAGGTATGATCGTTTATATATATCTTACAGATGAGGAAAACGGAGACATGACGCATCCTGGGGCACATAGTCAACTTCTGGGCAAACTAGGATTTGACCTTGGTATGTCTGAACCCAAAACCTAAATTCTTAACCACAGAGCTCTGTTGCATCTCTAGATTCTAGAGCCTTTTAGAGCCAGGCACAAAATTATACACTGTGAGTCCAAGCACGTGAAGTTTCAGAAACAGTCTAATCTATGACGGTAGAAATCACGAAAACTATCTCTTGGGTGTGGAGAGCAAGGAGCATTGACTGGGAAGAGAGACGTGGGAGCCCCTGCAGCTCTGCAAGTGTTCTGTGTCTTGATCCAGGTGGTAGTAACATGAGTGTGTATTTATGTAAAAATTCACAGAGCTGCTCACTGAATTATGCACTTTATTGGGTGTATGTTACACTTTATTTTTTTTTAAAAAAGGGCTTCCTTAGAAGATGTGCATTTTGAAATGAAGCTGGAAACCATTCTGGATGATTATTATAATCATATATAAAATGCTTATCATATATCGGGCATGCTACTTATTGAGTGCTTATGATATGTCAGATGCTGCTAGGTGCTTTACATATTATTTTATTTTATTTAATCTTTACAGTGGTCCTGAGGAGATAAATATCCTGCCCATTTTACAGATGAGAAAACTGAGGTTTGAAGAATGCAGTGACTTGTCTGGGTCACCAGGAAGTGGCTTAGTCAGTCCAGGTTTGTCTTGTCAATGCAAATTCAATTAACAATCAAGAAAGAAAAGAGAATTTTCTTTGAGCCAAACTGAGGATTATAACCCAGGAGACAGACTCTCAGGAGCTCTGAGAACTGTTCCACCTGTTAGAAATCAAAGGCACAGTCATATACATTTTCAAGACAAAGGATCGTACATCAAAATGACATACTGACATATTACATAAAGTTCACCACATAGTCCAGGTAAGCACAAACAAAGCAAGCAGTAAGTCACCATGACCCCCTTACAGAGTTGGGAAAGAATGCTGATCTTTTAAGAGGTTACATTGCTGGTGTCAGAAGGAAGGGAAAAAAAATACATCTTTATTGTTGAGTAGGCACTCCCATTTTTAAGGAATTCTGGTTAATGTACCACGCAAATGCACATTGCACACTGAAGTAGAAAGGAGGAGGAGAGGAAGTATTTCATGTTTAAAATTTCTTGTCCTGCCTTAAAATGTAAGTTTTATTTCATCAGTCTGACCCCCAAGTCCATGCTCGTGGCACCACCTGCTCCCACCTCCCTGGCTCCATGGAACTGGTGGGACTTGGCTTACAGAGGATGAGGGAGGAGAGACCAGAGATGGTTCTGAGCAAAGTTGGAGGGCACATGGCCCCTTGCAAGGCTCTGTAACTAATTTTGTTTCTGTAATTTTGTTTTATTATTCTTAAAGAACGCCTCCCACCCTGATTTGTCAAAACTTCAGTCTCCTGGCTCAGAGGGTGGCTGGGAAGATGGCTGCCCCATCATTAGATTGCAGAGTATCACTTAGTAATACCTTAACCCCCATTCCAGCTCATAACAAGTTGCCTAGGGCCCTCATCAGACATACCCTCACCCCAGCACCAGTGTCTTGTAAAGCAGACCCTGAAAAGCTCTCAGTAGCCTGAGAAAAGCAGGGATGTCTGCCCCTCCCATTGCAAATTAAACACAGGATGTCTTTCTGGACCCCCAGCTTCTTACTTCTTCTCCATGCTCCTCCTCTCTCCCTCCTTCTCCCCCCCCTTTTTTTTTGTCTACTATCTTCCCACCTGGCTTTTCCCCACTCACCCCTCTCCTTAACAACAGCTGACTTCCCCCCTTACCCCATAAAGAGTCAGGGCCAAGAGCCTTCCCCACACTGGTACCGACCAAGCAGGACTCTGCTTTGGGGGAACCAGGATTCCAGCGCTCGGCATGTGGTCCTGCCTCACTGGGTCCCCAGACAGTCACTTCTTCCTCTGGACATCAGTTTCCCCACTTTCCATTTATGCATAACCTGGGTCCTGGGCTGGTGTCTTAAATCACACCGGGTATCTCTTACTCTCTTTGAGTCAGGAAGCAGGTAGACAAGGCGGTCCACCTTGGGGACCAGGCTCCCTCTTCACCACCTGCCCACCCTAGAGGTATCTTAAGTGCCCTTCACTGGGCAGGCTGGTGAGGCAGGCTTTGGTCTTGGATCTGATTGTCTAGAGGCTCCGGATTCACTGCCCAGACCTTCAGAGCATCCCCATGTGGGATCCCTAGTGGGGTCCTCTTCACGCCCAAGTCTTTCCTGCCCTCCCTTCCAGGCTCTGACCCTCCCCCAGCTGTTGCTAAGCCCCTCCTTAAATGCATCACAGCCATGCCCTGGTTGAGCAGATGTTTAATACACAAAACAAAAATAGTGGTTATTTTGTTGAAAGGATCCCCAGAAATCTGAAGCCATCTGTTTGGGACATCCCACCCTGGGGCCTAAAAATGCCTGCTGCCTTCCTTGGCAAAAGCACAGCAGCCCAAGAGCTGTTCAAGTATATTTATAAGCAGTTCTCTGCCCTGTTTCACTGAAAGGCCGCGAACACCCCCTACGCCCCCAAGCCTCCTGCTGCTGGGGCCTCACGGAGGAGGAGAGGAGGCAGAACTTTGCATCCTGGGTTGCAGCTTGCTTTTTTCCCCTTGGCATTTTCTTTGATGCTAAAAATCTATTTTTCATTAAAAAAAAATCAAAGAAATGTCTTTTACTTACTCTGAAGATGAATCTACTGCCACTGCACTCTTTCTCTGAGATCAGTTTCTCACCATCCCACCACCCCTATTGCTGACCCAACTTTTGAACTTCATCTGGCTAAAAGGGTGCCTGTCTCCTTCCTTGAGAAGCAAGATCAAATCCTCTGCCATTTCTCTGCCCATCATGGCTCCTAATTCCTGCATTTTCCCCTCTGACTGCTGCAGGGAAATCCTGGAATGATGTAACTGGACTCTAGTGGGGTTGGGTTTTGTGTATTTTTAAAAAATTGTTATTTATTTATATATAGATTTTTTTTAGTGGAGGTACTGGGATTGAACCCAGGACCTCGTGCATGCTTAGCATGTACTCTGCCACTTGAGCTATATACCCTCCCCACTGTGTATTTTTTCCTTCACTTCTTATTACCCAGGATTACAGTACACTTTTATTGTCAAAAGTTGTCTCCATAAGGAAGTGAATTCTTCATACTAAAACTGTCTGGGACACAGTTAAAGCTATGCTAAGATGAAAATTGACAGCCTTAAATGCTTTTATGGTTAATAAAAGACCCAAAATAATTGAATCAAATATTCTACCTAAGAAATTTTTTAAAATAGCAATAAAGTAAAAGACAGAAGAGGGGAGGAGGGAGGGTAAAGTTCAGTGGTAGCGTGCATGTTTAGCATGCATGAGGCCCTGGGCTCAACCCCCAGTACCAACAATAAATAAATAAATAAATTTTTAAAAAGAAGAAAAAGGGGAGAAAAAGATGAAAGCTGACAGAAATAAAATAGGAAAAATTACTGAAAAGACAAATGAAATTTGTTTGGAAATGCAAATAAAATGAGAAAAATCTTAATAAAGGCAAGTCAAAGCAAAGACAGAGAGCAAAGTATGCAACATTAGGAATGAGAAAGGCAGTATAAACAGATAAGGATATTATTAAAGTAATCATTTAAAATATTATGGTAATAAACTAAAATAACAAAAGGAAATATGCTTTTTCAGCAAAATACAAACTATGAAAATCAACCTAAGAAGTAGAAAAATTTAACAGACTAAGAACCATGGAAGAGATTAGAAAGATAACCAAGGAGATTGCATTCTGATGGAGAAATTTTTCACATATTGCGGTGTGGGGACATCATTTTGGCTATTACATGGTTCAGCCTGCACTTTGTGTGAACTCAAACAGCTTGATTCAAGATCTATCAAACACATACAGCACATCTACTTCAATCTTTAAGGTAAAGAATGTCTGTTTCAAAGATAAAGATAAATAACTCTCTTCCCACGACATTCATGCTAACACTCCCTCAAAGATAAGGTTCCCTTCCCAGACACCAGGGTCCTGCTGTTTCACTGTGTTACATACTAAATTTGTCTCTTTTGAAACCTTGAAGGAATGTAGTCCTGTCAATGTGATGTATGTTCTTTGTTCTGGTAAGGTAGGAGACTGTGCAGAAAATCACCCTTCAACAGAGCAGTCATTCCTCAGAGTTACTGAGAGGATCCTTCTGGGCTAGCATCCTCCATTTGGCTTGAATCGGACTCTTTTTTCTTTATTATAAATTGATTCTTTCTGTCAACACTGCTAGACGTATGCTGCAGGATATCAGAGAAACCCACCTGTGATCACCTAGAGTCTTACTTTGGACCAGCGCTTGGTACCAAGCACAAGTCCCTTGAGCCCCCGGCTTCACAGCACCTTTCAGATATTTGGGTGAGTTTTTCCTGGTATCTGGACCTCATTCCAAATGGTCTTGAGTTTTATCTGAGCTTTGAAAATGTTAAGACCTGGAGCCTTAAGAGGGTACTGGTACATTTCCTGGTGGAAGGGACCTTGGGGAAATTTCCAAGGCGGGGAACTGAGGGGAAGTTCCTGGACAGGGAAAGCCTAGAAGGAACTTTGGAGTGAACTATTGGCCTTTCTTTTTTTTTTTTTTTTAATTTTTTTTATTATTACTTTTTTAAAATTGAAGTATAATCAGTTTACAATATTGTATCAATTTCTGGTGTACAGCATAATGTTTCAATCATATATATGCATACATATATTTGTTTTCATATTCTTTTTCATTATAGATTACTACAAGATATTAAATATAGTTCCCTGTGCTATACAGTAGAAACTTGTTGTTTATCTATTTTATATATAGTAGTTAGTATCTGCAAAGCTTGAACTCCCAATTTATTCCTTCCCATCCCCTTTACTTGCTGGTGACCATAAGTTTGTTCTCTATGTCTGTGAGCCTGTTTCTGTTTTGTAGATAAGTTCATTTGTGTCCTTTTTTTTTAGATTCCACATATAAATGATATCATATGGTATTTTTCTTTCTCTTTCTGGCTTACTTCACTTAGAATGACAATCTCCAGGTCCATCCATGTTGCTGCAAATGGCATTATTTTATTATTTTTTGTGGCTGAGTAGTATTCCATTATATGTATGTTGTGATGTGTGTGTGTGTGTGTGTGTGTGTGTGTATTTATCACATCTTTATCCAGTCATCTGTCGATGGACATTTAGATTGTTTCCGTGTCTTGGCTATTTTAAGTAGTGCTGCTGTGAATACTGGGGTGCATGTGTCTTTTTGAATTAGAGTTTTCTCCAGATACATGCACAGGACTGGGACTGCTGGATCATATAGTAAGTCTATTTTTAGTTTTTTAAGGAACCTTCATACTATCCTACATAGTGGCTGCACCAATTTACATTCCTACCAACAGTGTAGGAGGGTTCCCTTTTCTCCACACCCTTTCCAGCATTTATTACTTGTAGACTTTTTAATGATAGCCATTCTGACTGATGTGAGGTGATACCTCCTTTTGATTTGCAGTTCTCTAATAATTAATGATGTTGAGCATATTTTCATGTGCCTGTTGGCCATCTGGATGTCTTCTTTGGAGAGATATCTATTTATGTCTTCTGCCCAGTTTTTGACTGGGTTGCTTGTTTTTTTTATATTAAGCTGTATGAACTGTTCGTATATTTTGGAAGTTAATTCCTTGTTGGTTGCATTATTTGAAAATATTTTCTCCCATTCTGTAGGTTGTTTTTTTGTTTTGTTGATGGTATCCTTAGCTGTGCAAGGGATTTTAAGTTTAATTAGGTCCCATTTGTTTATTTTTGCTTTTATTTCCATTACTCTAGGAACTGGTTCAAAAAATATTGCTGTGATTTATATCAGAGTGTTCTGCCTGTATTTTCCTCTAAAAGTTTTATATTATCCAGTCTTATGTTTAGGTCTTTAATCCATTTTAGTTTATTTTTGTATATAGTGTTAGAGAAGAATATGATTTCGTTCTTTTACAGGTAGCTGTCCAGTTTTCCCAGCACCGCTTATTGAAGACACAATCTTTTCTCCATCGCATATTCTTGCCTCCTTTGTTGTAGATTAACTGACCATAAATCCATGGGTTTATTTCTGGACTTTAAGTCCTGTTCCATTGATCTATGTATCTGTTTTTGTATTGGCTGGGCTTATTTAATTTGGCTTAAATTGGAAAGATTGTGTATATATGGTCTGAACAAACACATAGCAAAGTACGAGACTGAGCCTATTCAGCTCTGAGGAAAAGGGACATTTGCTCTTTCTGTCCACAAGGTGTCCTCAGGCAACTGAGAACCTAGTGGAAATGTCTGAGGATTAATCCTGTCGATGAGTAGTAGACCCACAGGGAACCCCATCAAACACTTTAAGTTATTTATAGCTCATCCAGGGGCACACATATGAACTTGTCATTCAGTGCTCAGCGCCCCCGCTGTGGATTTAGACTGCTGGTGGGAGAAACCGAGACACGAAACAGCAGGACCAACTCAAGGGTGACACCTTGAGGAGCTAAGCTCAGAAGCGGCACACTTCGGACCCACTACACTGGCCCTAGAAATTGTTCAGAGTTTATAAAAAGACAAAACTAAAAGAAAATAGAAAATCATGCTTCTAAAGCCAAGCAGCTCCCAGGCAGGCAGCCACCCACTGGAACTCCGCTGGCTTTATGTACGATACCGTATGATGCAATAAGGCACGGAGCTGATACCACAAGTGCTTGGTAAAATGGGAAGATCTAACAAAAGATAACTTAACTCTTAAGAGGCCAAAATGAGGAACTTTTCAACTTACCAAAATTAGTTTATTGCATGCACAATGGGGAAAAAAAGCCGGCTATAAAATTACACAGACCGGATGGGAAGCATATTTCAGGTGGTACTCAGAAGCTTCAAAGTGTGGTAATGATACAATGGCATCCTTACTAATGGAAAATTATCAGAAGCTGTTGCTAAATTGGAGAAAAGCTCAGAAGCTAACCTCCCCTCTTCTGCTCCTTCTTCCCCTCCTTCAGTGCCTTCTGTCCTCTCCTTTCTGAACGCCCATACACTGATTTATCTGCCCTTCCTCCTCTTGCGTCTCTGAAGGAGAAACCTACCAGAAGAGGTGAGCCTGTATTTATGTGTACTGCCTGGTTTAGAACTGAACTTAAAAAAGGTAACTAAGGATTTCCCAGACTCCTTCCAAGATCCTTTAGAGTTTGTTAGGACATATGAGCCAGAATACTCAGATACTATGTATCTTTCGTGAATTTTATGTAAAATGCCAATATGTCATTTTGATGTGTGATCCTTTATCTCAAAAATATATGTAACTGTCCTCTCAGCTTCTGGTGATCAGAACAGTTCTCTGAGCTCTGTGAGAGACTGTCTCCTGGGTTATATCCATCAGGTTGGCTCAAATTAAATTCTCTATATCTTTCTTAAATTGACCACTGATTAATTTTTTATCAACAAGATGGATCCTACTTAAAGGAAGAGCAGGGACATTACCGAGCTGGATATGTAGTAATGTTCACAGTGGACATAATTGAAAGCTCTTATTTACCAGAAACAAAGTCAGCACAACAAGCCAAATTAATTACCTTAACCCGAGATTGTCGACTAGCTAGAGACTAAATGGCAAATATTTATATTCACAGTGGTTATGCCTTTGGAGTGGCACACAAATTTGGAATGCCATGGAAACAATAAGGGGTTTTAACCTTTTCAGGACAGCCTATTAAAAAATGGGAAAGAAAAGATTGCAGAGTTATTAAATACTATACGAAACAGTTGGCAATTATTAAAACACCTGAGCATTCAGTGTCTGGCACTATGGAAGCCCAAGGAAATCAGATTGCTAATGATGCAGCCTAACAGGCAGCTTTAAAAACTCATTCAGCCTCGAGAATGTCCACTGCCCTCTGTTAACACTGCTAATCTAGTAAATGATTTCCTTCTTTACAGGCTCAAGAAATCACTGCGAAAGAAGAGAAACAGGTGTGGCAACAAAAAGGGGGATGTTTGACCACTTCACACAAACATGGTTTGGACTTGATAAAAAAAACAAAAACCTATAGTGCCTGTTGAAACATGGTTGCTATTACTCCAGCATGTACATTATTTAACCTACTAGGAAACTGAGAGAATGGTTTTATGGAGAAAACAGTATTTTTGGAAACTTTCTCCTACAGTGGCTCATAAAGTATATACTCACTGTACTATACGCTCTAAGTATAATCCTGGAAAACCACTTCATGGGTCACAAGGCCACTTGCCCCTTCCTAAAGGATTCTTTGAAATACATCAGTTGGACTTTGTCCAAAGTCCACTATCTCAAGGATATAAATACATCTTAGTAATGATCTGCATGTTTTCACACTGGATTGAAGCTTTTCCCTACAGGAGAGCAACAGCTTTAACAGTAGATAAATTGTTATTTGAAAGGGTAATTCCTGTTTGGGGAACTCTTTCCGAGTTATATAGTAACCAGGGAACTCACTTTACCAGACAAATAATTAAATCTATTTGTAACATTTGGCCAATAAGGCAGCATTTTCACTGTGCTCATCATCTTTGGTAGAAAGAACTAACAACACTACCAAAACTGAATTGGCAAAACTTTCAGAAGCATTTAATCTCTCATAGACAAAAGTTCTTCTGCCCTTGCTTCTCAACCTTAGAACTTCACCTTTTGGTAAACATCATCTGTCTCCTTTTGAATTAATAGCAGGATGGCTTATGTGACTGAGTGAGGGAATATATAAACCAATCTTACTCAAAAGAGATCTATTGCATTACTGTTGGGGTCTTATTAAGGCACTTAAAGGAAATGAAAAGTTGATAGCTAATTTCTTTCACAGTGAGCTGTCAGGAGACAAAGACCTTACAGATCATGGATTACAACCTGGAGATTTTATTTATTGGAAAAGACATCAAATGGATTCTTTGCAGCCATGTTGGAAAGGAAAATGGTATTATTAACTAATCCACGCACTGCCAAACTAAAAAGGCATAGAATCATGGGTTCACATCTCTCATTTTAAAAAAGCACCCTCCACCTAAGTGGACTTTAACCATTGTTTCTGACACCCAGTTTCAACTGACTAAGGCAAGCACCACCAAGCCAGGACAAGAAGATATGACAGCAGTAACTGACAGCTAACCCAAGACTCTGGACCAGGCTTTCAACCCCCAACCTTGTCAACACTTTTGGACTGCTTTTAAAAAATTTTTTGAATGTCTGTTTCACAGAAAATGATAAATAATGCTAACACTGTCTCAAAGGTAAGGTTCCCTTCCCAGACACCAGGGTCCTGCTGTCTCACTGTGCACATATTAGATCTCTTTTGAAAACTTGAAAGAATGTAGTCCTGTTGATATGATGTACGCTTTTTGTTCTGGTAAGGTAGGAGACTGCTGAAAACCGAGCTTTGACAGAGAAGTCCTCAGAGATACTGAGGGGCTCCTCCCGGGGTATAGGACTCCATTTGGCTCAAATAAAACTCTTCTCTATTCTTCAGCATGGATTGATTATTGATTATTTCCATTGACAATTCCAGAAGACTCCAGTTCAGTAGAGGACAAACTAATATTAGTGCCTCTTAAGATGATGCAGTGGGAAATATGCAACAGCTATGTGGTATTCTAGCCCCAAATGTTCAACCTAAATCCAGTCATGAAGAAACAGACCAATCAAGATGGTGGGACATTCTGCAAGACAACTGACCTGGACTCTTAAAAAAAAAATCGAAGTCATAAAAGGGAAAAATAAAAGGCAAAACTGTTCTAGATTAAAAGATTAAGGAGATATGACAACCAAAGGCACTGGAGGATCTTTGATTATATCCTGGAGTTTTTAAAGTCAGTTATAAGGACATTATTGGGACAGTTAGAGAAATCTGAATCTAGACAGTGTTTAGGTATTATTATATGTAGTTCCTGCTGGGTGGGAGAATGGAATTTTCTTGGTTGGGTTAATGGAATTTTGCTTACGTAGGGGAATGTCCTAAATCTTAGGAGATACATTTTTTAAAACGCAGTTAGGAATGAAGTCTTGACGTTTGCATTTCATCTTTGAAATTGTTGAGCAAAAACTTTTAGATTGTGTGTGTTTGTGTGTTTGATCCACAACAGCCAGGCCACTGTGAATGGTATAGAATAAGATGTTGGTAATAGGGACTAGATCTCATGCATTGTGAGTGCTGCTGGAACAGACTGTGCACGGCCTGTATACCCACCAGTAGTTGGAAAGGAGAGATGGGCGTGAAGTGGGGGCACACAAGGACAAATTGGAGCTCACATGTGTCTCCTACCCCCTCTATCCTCAATGATGCAAGTGACCAGCAACAGAACTGGTGTCCTTTGCCACAGAGATGCACGCATAGCTGGCCCAGGACTCAGAGAAGCCAAAGAAGGAGACCTAGCAGGAGCCAGGGAGGCTACAGGCCCAGGTACTGTCCCCAAACCAACAAGGCAAGTTAGCAGCTCAGTGACAACCACATGCCAGCTGCAGCAGAGCCTGACGCCTTCCACCAAAGTGCAAAGCATTAAAAAAAAAAAAGAAAAGTCATGCTCCCTTCCAATCTTGAGCAGATTTATTTTGTGGCCAACCCAACTTGGAATCACACAGGGGAGAGAATTCTAGGATATTTGGGTCCAGCTGAGCTAAGTTGACACACTACAAAGTGGAGCATGAGTGAGAAAGAGAGAGAGAGAAAGAAAACAAATGTAACAAAATATTAAAAATTGGTGAATCTAGGTGAAGAGGGCTCAATTTTTTTTGTAGATTTGAAATTTTAAATAAAAAGTTGGAGGTGGGGAAAAGGCACCAGGCCCAGATGGTTTCACAGCTGAGTTTTATCTAGGCTTTAAAGATCAGATTATTCCTATATAATCCCTATATAGTTACACAAACTATTCTAGACCATAGGAAAATACAGAAAATTCCAGAAAATAAATATATGTATGTATATGCATGACTGGGACATTGTGCTGTACACTAGAAATTGACACATTGTAATTGAATGTACTTCAATTGAGAAGTAATAATAAAAAAAAGAAAGTGAAGAAAAGTCTACACTCAAATGATTCAGAAGAAAGCATATACAGATATACATATACATACATGAATGTTTTATATATATAAAACCCCATACTGTATAAAATCCCATACTGTGTGTGTATATCTATATATTCTTATGTATGTTTGTACGTGTGTATCCAGATAGAATCCTATGATATAAAATATAGTTTAATCTGAGTAAAGGGTACATGAGTTTGCTCTTTGTACTATTTCTATTCTTGCAACCTTTCTGTAAGTTTGAAATTATTTCCAAATAAAAAGTTTTAAAAATTGCTCTATCCTCATACATTGCTCATAGACTGTAAATTGGTACAACCACTTGGGAAAACTCCTTGGCAGTATCTGCTGAGGCCAAATCTCTGCCTCCGCTGTGACCCTGCACCTCCACCTCCGGGCATGTGCCTACGCGAAATGAGTGTTTCTGTCGACCAAAGTTGCATGGCAGTTTATTCTTATTAGCCCCAACTGGAAACAACCCAAATGTTCCCCAGAAGTAGACTGGATAAATGAACACAGCTCATCAACACAATAAAGCACTACTTAATAATAGAAAGGAAAATGTATAAATACACGTAACACCTTGGAGGGCGTGCTGAGTGTGCTAGGTAAGGCACAAGAGTGCATGTTACATGATAACTCCATTTCTTTGCGGTTTAACCACAGGCCACATGGACCTATGGTGACAGAGATTAGAATACTGCTTACTTGTGGAGAGAGGGGGAACTAGGTGGGTTTCTGGGGCTGGAAATGTTCTGTATCTTTTTTTTTAATTAAAAAATTTTTAATTGAAGTACAGTTACAATGTTGTGTCAATTTCTGGTGTACAGCATAATGTTTCAGTCATATATATGCATAATATAGTCATTTTCATATTCTTTTTCATTATAGATTACTGCAAGATATTTAATACAGTTCCCTATGCTGTACAGTATAAACTTGTTGTATATCTATTTTATATGTAGTAGTTAGTATCTGCAAATCTCGAACTCCCAATTTATCCCTTCCCACCCCCTTTCTCCCTGGTAACCATAAGTTTGTTTCCTATGTCTGTGAGTCTGTTTCTG